CAGCTGTCGATCTGGTATTTGAGGAGAATCATTCTCTCCAGGAGGAAATGCTGTAGCTACGACAGCATGTGAATTAAGAGCAAACTGTTAAAATGTTGGAAACAAAGAAAATGTCTTCCTATGTTTAGGTTACAGGGAGCCTTTGCAATAATTCAAGATGCACATGAAAGCACTGATTTAAATATATCTAAATATGTTAATCATAATGGTCAGCTTCCTGATAGTGTTTTGGTACTTACCTTGCAAGCAACATAAATTGTTGCCAGATTTGTGAATTCATAAAGGACAGAAAACTCATCTAGCTCAAATACAGAAATGGTTCCAACCAATTAAATGTGGTGACGTGTATGATGTCAACCAGAAGCAGCAGGCAGAAGCAAAACAAACATGGCTGACCAGTGGATGTACTTGGAGAGTCTGCTATTCAGTCTGTTTGAGCTGGAATACCTTCTATTTATTTTCTGAAAAATGCCTTTGTCGATGGGAAAGATGTTTGCACGTTCCTCCTGGCCGTATTTGATTTGTCAGTTAACTCTGCTGGTTGTGTAACAAATCAAGAATGTACGTCTCAGCCACTGATCTCTATTTATGCACTGGATTGCCCGAAAAAAGTGAAGCCACTCTCTGCCATATTGGTACTCCCTAGTGCCACTGAGACACGCAGTATAAATGCCTACATGTGTAACATTTTGCTGGAAAACAAGCAGTTTGCCGGCTGTGGGAAAATGTTTCACAGGTAATTTTACTGTCAGTGTTATTGTGTGCATACATACCTCTGTGTATGATATATGCTAATTATCAGATTCTTGTAACTTAGAGCAAAAAGCAAAATATGAATTTGATGTTGTCAGTTATTTTACCAATTTATCTGATTTTGCTAGTGTAGAAACTGAAGCTCTGTAGAGTCATTAAATTGGTTCATTAATTTAGCTCTCTGGTAAATCTATGTTAGAATTAAAGGCTAATGCACAGACACAGCAGAAAAGTATCTGGCATCATGCATGCACAATCTGCAAATAGAAAAATACTATAGCATTAACAGATATGTACTTGTAATTCAGTCTTTTTGTAAAATCTTGAAACAATATGTATGATGTAGTTACCACAACGTCATCAATGCATGTCTATTACGTGTACATCTTCAATTTAACACTTTTGGCACATCTGTACTATTATGCTCCATTAACACATTTGTATATGTTATATTACATAATTGATAGACTTCATTGACTTCATAATAACTATGCAATATGATGTGCCTATTTTTTAAAGTAATCTACTGTAACTATGAAACAGCAAGTTTGTGTCAAAGTGATGAATCTATATCTTTATTTTAAAAGTCTTAAGCGCCCCTGATAACGAAAACATCATCGTGGTTCGATGCTGTAAAGCACGTACTGTTTACATTGCGACCGGTCCAACCAGGAAGTACCAATATGGCGGCCATTGCTTCACTTCAACCCCATACTACCAACGAGCAATCAGCAATATAGTGAATAAATAGAGATCAGTGGTCTCAGCTGATGCTGTTGCTGAATTGGCAAAAAGCTTGACATGGGAGGCAGATGGAGGCAGATTGATGGAAAAAACTTGTCCAGGCTTCACCAGACTCATGACGGTTTGCCCCCAAGATACCAGAATATGATAAAGATTTTTAATTTTTCAATGAATACTTTTTTCCAGCACATCCTCCAAAAGCTAAATTAGAGTTTTGTTACTGATTGCCAATACACTTGGTGGTAGCCAGCAGTCAGCCTGGGGGCCCTGATTGGTCCACATTGCCTTGCACAACAGATTGGGATCCACTATGTATCCTGACACCCTTCTCTCAGCACCAGCAACCTTTTCACTAACTTGGGCTACAGCAGCTCAGCTGTTGGATCAGACCACGCCGACCAGCCTTCAATTCTTACCATTAAGCCTCAGTCATTCTGTCCTCTTTTACTTTTACCTTTACATAAAATTATCTTTTCAATCATATTAGAAACAGGTTCAATTAAACATAATAACCTCTAAATATATATTAAAACCTTTCCACCTTTAATCAGTTGGTGTTTTAGGATAGTTTGTGTGAAAGTCTACCGCTACATACACATCAAGTTTATTGATTTTTTTTTTTTCCTTTACAGACACTGTTGTTTACAGTTGACCTAACTTTCAAGGTTTTCAGGAAGGTATTATCAGAAGCCCAGATAAGTGAAGGTGAAAGAGTCCAGCAAGAAGAAAAGGGGATAAAATGAGGACAGAGATGTTGGTGGGAGTGCATGAATGTTTATGGTTGTGTTTGGAAAGGAATGTAGCAAGTGCAGACTGGGGGAAGGGACAGGGGTCAATGACCACTACTCAGAGGGTTCACTTTAACATCAAGGGACACACAACTCTAAAAAAAGAATTGCATTTACCGTAAGCAATTTTTTATTTGGGGTAAATAAAAGTGATTTTTTTTTTTTGGTCTGGATTTTCCTCACTGTGTGTGATAACTTGCTGCTTTTGGTTTAGTCTCAGTGAGGACCTGTTTCAGTGACAGTATTAGGCAGAGACCTTGGTTCCCACTGCCAACACGGAGGCCAACAGCATGGCAAGAATGTGTTGAAGAGGAATGTTAAACACAAAGAGTATTGTGAGACTAAATGGTTAGAACGGCCAGCTGGGAGATTTGGCTGCAGTCAGTTGCTTGTTTACATCCGATTCTGCAGTGGCAGCCAGTCAGATGAGCCAGACGTTCAGAGATCAGTCTGGACTTAGGTACACTGCAGATCATGCATTGCCCTGGAAACGTGAAGTCATGTTCAAATAGATCCAGACTGCATGGAGGATGTTTTTACTAAGATTTTCATTTTGAGTTTCTTTATTTTTTCTTCGAAGGTGTATTTTCAAGTTTTTGATTCACATAAATTAAAGACCAGAGTCTGAAGATGGATAAATAATCTGATACAAATACAAATTCAACCAAATCTGTTGATGACAACAATAACTACAACAAACATTTCATAATGTTTTAATCCTTATATTCTTTTAAGATATAAAGTGGGTTTTGTTTTTGCCACATAAGAAGGAACAGAGTCACTTTTCTGTCCAATAACCTACAGTAAAAATGTTATTATGAAACATTCCCCATCAGCAATGATGTAAGAGGTACATTATGGTTTGACCTGATTACTCCATTAAAAATAATCAACATGGAAAAAAACATCTTATACAGACATCTGGGTTTTACCAAGAAAAAAAATATTAAGAAATCATAAAAAAAAATATTTACTAGGCCTAATTAGTTTATAAAACTTTTTTTAAATGTACACGCCCTCCTTTTTACATTCTGTGATATTCAGTGAGCTCATAAAGGCAGAATTGAAATCTAGCAATACAATAGCACCACCTGGTGGCAGATGAATATAAATATAAAAATTGAAGTAAACAAGGAAAATAGCAACATCAGAACTTAATTAAACTTCTGTGATGTATTTAAAGTAGAAAAAGAAATTGTAGAAAAAACAATGTGCATGAAATGTTACGAAGAAAGTATTCAATCTGATTTAGGTACAAATCAGAGGTATAAATGGTTGAAATTAAAAACAGCAACATATTTGAGATTTGTTTCAACTACTCAGCATTACTGAGGTAAATTCTTAACAACCTTTAGAGATTTATTCTGTTTTTCCTACCTCTCCTAAACTTTTGATCATCAGTTTGTTGAAGTTCTGAGTATGTTAGCATATGTTTCTCAGATAGAAGAGGAAAATAAATATCATAAGTTAATTTCCACAGACATGGATACGTAGACCCCTCACTGGGCACATGCGAATGCATGTCGATGTCACCACCATATTGTATGTGGCAGAAAGTAGTTGCCAAACTGGACACACTAAAGCTATTTATTTTATTTCATCAGTTTGCTAAATAATTGTGGTCACCGTGTCACATGTGAACCTTTTAAGATCTGGTTTGGACACAGATTAGGAATAGGAACATAGTATTTGGGCAAATAGTAAAGAGATAAAATGACTGATATGAGGAAAAAAGTCCTAGGACAACAAAGTAAGTAAGTACAAGAAAAGACGTTATAATATGAGAATTTATGGGGATACATTTCCAGAAGAGCCACAGTTTGGAGACCTATTTTAATCCTGGATTAAGAAGATCAGGTTAGATTCCTTTAATTATTTTTATCTTTATAAGAATAAAGTCATGAGAATGAAGGCAAAGGGATATAAACTCGTAATATTTCTAGCACGCTTATCCCGAGTGGGGTCGCGAGGGGTGCTGGTGCCTATCTCCAGCAGTCAATGGGCGGGAGGCGGGGTACACCATGGACAGGTCGCCAGTTCATTGCAGGACAACACAGAGACAAACCTAACAAACAACCATTCACACACACACCTAAGGGGACTGTAGAGAAGCTAATTAACCTAACAGTCGTGTTTTTGGACTGTGGGAGGAAGCTGGAGTACCCGGAGAGAACCCAGGGATGCTCAGGGAGAACATGCAAACTCCAGACCCCGGGCCAGGAGTCGAACCCATAACCTTCTTGCTGCAAGGCTGCAGTGCGCCGCTACTCGTAATATTACGAAAGAAATATATATATATATATATATAAATATAAAGTATAATCTGAGATTAAAGTCCCTCTGATACTGTATAAGTGTCAGAGTCTATTCAACATGGCGGAGGCTCTGACTCATCCGCAGCAGAGGCAGACCAACAAGGGCTCTACGTATATTACGTCTACGTTCATTTCAGGGAGATGGGCGAAGTCTTGTTAATGTCAGCAAAAAGCATTTTGTATCCAAAATGATAGAAAAACCACAGCTAGGTAAAAAATTTAAGGCAAATGTTTCACATCTTTAGCAGAACAAACAACTTTTTTCTTCTAGCCGCCCGGATTTCAGATCTGAAGTCAGAAGTCAGTGGTACTCGTTGGCAGATAATTAAGCACAGAACAAAGCAGTTACCTGGATGTAAAATCTTTATAGTGCAAAACTGCAAGTAAATACATACACGGATCAATCCCAAAGAAATGTTTACTGGGTTTATTTATATGTGGAAAATGTCCAGACTTGGTCAGTAACATGAAAACCTTAAAACATGCCTTCGGTTTATAAGAAAACTCAAAAGCAAATAATTGAAATTTGAATTTCAGACTTTCACAAAAGTTTTTAAAGTTAAAATGGAAGCTTTAAACGTATTTTCTGGTGAAGACGCATAAAAGCAGCTCAGTTACTGCAATGTCCTCTTGAGGAAGTCCACGAGCAGATGGTGAGGGAAGCCAAAATCCATCTGAGCAACAACATATCCCTTCAGGACAGAGAAAGGTGATTACATTAAGCAAATATAACGGTTATTAACCAGGGACAAAAACAAGAGTAAAATGCTTTTCTTACTTCCTTATGAAGCACCTCAGGGTTGATGATGTCAAACAAGCTTGCACCCTGTTTGTCCATCAGCCTAGTTATCTCCACCTCCAGAACTGAAACAAACAACATTTCTCAGCTGTTCCTGCAGAGCATCAAAGGAGGAGCCATGCAGATCAAGGAAAGGCAGGTTTATTTATGTAGCGCATTTCAGTAGCAAGACAATTCAAAGTGCTGGACATGAAAAAAGGAAAAGAAACAATAGGAGAAAAAGCATCAAAGTAAACTTGAAGATTTTTATTGTAATCTAAATTAAACAAAAAACAGGAAAAGATGGATCAAAAAAAAAAGTTGCTTTATACGTACATTAGAAGACAATATGATATTAGCATTGAAAGGTTGTGGTTAGTTTTTATTTTTATGTTTCGTACCAAACAGGACTTTAGGAACGCCTATTTTCTCCACAGCTTCTCTTATAAACTCAATTTGTGCCTCATCGTATATCTGGAAACAGAAAAACGAGTGAAAGCGAAATTCTAATCAAACCCTCTCTATAATTATTTGTGTGTACATTTATATATCTCCAATAGAAGTGAATCTTTCGTTTTAACAAATGAAAAAGTATTTACCTGTTGGTTCTCTTGAGGAAGCTCAGCTCGAACTACAGAGATCCTGTAAATATAACTTCCTTTACAAACAAGCAGGTGTTATGGGCAACGGAAGCGGCACAAACTAATTACACGTCGTTAATATAAGGCTGCTTTCTGGTTTCCACAATCACCAAAGAAATACCAATTGAATTATCTCTTGATAAATGGGGTATAGAACATTAAAACAGATATATATAACTAAAATAATAGTTATTCAGTATAGGAGTAAATCTGAGTAATCACTTGGAGAAGATACCAAATTCCAAGAAGAAACTAAAGTCGTGTCTCACTACGGGGTCAGCCTTTGAATATTTTCAGACTCTCCTTGCACTTATGGCTGAAGAGTAGGTGGTTTCTCAGGACTGCAGGTAAGAAACTATTCTATTTAAATAGGATTGTTTTTCCCCAAAACAAAGTTAGAAGGTTTAGCGTTGCTCAAGCTCTAAAAATATACCTAGTAACTTCCTGTCAGGAAAGGGAGCAGGTTCATAGATTGAGGTTGAAGGGCCTCCGGTGTGCACAGACGGAATAGAAATAGGTTTAAGAGATTAACCAAAGGATGTTGACTTTTAATTTCATTTGGAGGAAAAAGTAATCTAACGGCAGAGGGACAGAATGATTGGTTATTCTTGGAGTCAGGGTGTCAGGTCAGGTTATTTTTATTTATACTGATAAGCAGCGAGCAGGAGACCAGAAAATAGGGAGCTGAGCAATTCATTGTTTCAGAACTAAATCTAGTATCCCTCCATCCAAACTGCCCAGTCAAAACTATATGAAAAGTGGTTTTGAAGCTTGAATGGGAAAATTTTATTGATTTTAAATTTTATATTTTCCTCATGTCTTGCTGTTACTCAACTATTTCTTTTTTCCTACCAGATGCTTGCTAATAACAGATGAGTACACTTCAGCATACATGTCTGAAACATCTATATCCTAAATAAAATAAAATTAAATAAAATGGGTCTTTTAAAGGTTACCTAGAGCCAAAATGTGAACACCATCCTAGGGACCATAATGGTCACTAAAGATCAGCGTTCAGTGTCAAAACTGTCGTGCATTCGAGCAGACAGGAAGCTAACGGAAGATATCAGATGCAAGATCTCCAACCTGTCTGTTGTAAGAGATAATAATCTCTCAGAATCCTATCTGGAATAATATTCTATGGGCCTAGAGATACAGTAATAGAGCCTGTTGGGTTATGTCAGACGAGGCCAGGCTCAGCAAATCACCAGGTTTTAACATTGATCCCAAAAGTAAAGAGAATTAGATCTGTTAAATCCAGTTAGAAAAAAAATGCAAGTTGTAAAATTCTTCTAACAAGGAGAATTTAAAGTAACATTTAGAAAATATCTAACCTGTAAAAAAAAAGAAAAAAAAAAGAAAATATGAAAAAAAGAATATATATAAAAAAAAGTTTAATTACAAAAAACAACAACTATTTCTTTCTTTGCTTGCAATAAAGTTATCTAACTCTCTAAATCTCGCTCCATATATTAACAGCAAAGTTATTAGTTATTATGAAAGGAAAGGTTCTTACTCTTGTGGTTTACCGTGGAGGAAAAGTTTCTTTTCTGCATAGGAAGCCGTGACATCAACTGTAACGTTCTATAAATCCAGGAACAAACAAAGATCAATTAAACTGAGAAAAGCAATTTAAAAAAAGAAAGGATGCTAAGGTGATATTCAACATTTTGATATTCACAGCACATATGCGTTTTTAATGCTTCGTCTAATGGCTGAACAACTAAAATACAAAAGCTTTACATCACTTCACTGAGGGATCATATATGCATCATTTAACTCCAATATCAACTTTATTTTTAAAGCTTTTTAAAATAACCAAGCTCAACATGCTGTTCATAAATCAGCTGACGACGGTTAAATGAAAACAAATAAGTAAAAGATAGATAAGGTAAAATATGCATAAGTTAGTTATTTAACTTAAATTAAGTAAAACTAATGCAACAATTTAAAACTTTAAAATACATTTAAAATACATTTGATAATAGAGTCAAGTTCATAGGGTGTGTAATTTTTGATGGACATTTAAAAAATAATAAATGTAAATAAAAGCAAATTAATTTGCTGAAGATTTGGCAGAAATGTATGTTTCAAACCATGTTACACAACTTAACTTTTGAAGGCGTCTTGAGGAGCGAGCAAAACAGTTGCTGCATTTGGTAGGAGGAATATTTACCAAAAGAACATGATATTGACACATGAATGCTAATTCAACATTAGTATTTGATATATATATTTAATTTGAGCTGTAGTCATGCTATGTTAATCCTAGCCTGGAAATATAACAGCATTAATGTAATTATGAAGTTCTTTTCTAGAAATTACAACTGATACAAAAACTGACACATAGATGGACCCGAAGTTCTCTCATAATTCTTCCCAGATTTCGCCAAAGTCCCTCCTGCTGACTTTCCATCTTGGCAATGTGTCGTCATACTGCAGTGAAAATGACCTAAACTGCTGATTTTACACCGATGGTGATCCTGATGATGTCCAGCCATTCACTTTATGAGCAGCACCAAGCTGCTAGTTTTCCTCTTAAATCAAAACAGAAGAAGCAAAAAACTGAAGTTTTCCACATGCAAATGTACAACATATTTTCAAAAAATATTAAAGGACAAAAAAGAAAACCTCTCTCTCTCTCTCTCTCTCTCTCTCTCATATATATATATATATATATATATATATATATATATATATATATATATATATATATATATATATATATATATATATTTTTTTTTTTTTTTTTTGGCCATCTAGCTATTCATAAATAGCTAGACTGAAATACTTTCAATAGTTTCAATACTGGAAATACTTTTAGAAGCACAGAAAATAAATTACCTAAAGTGTTTACCTAAAACCTAAAAAAAAAAAACAATAACTTATGACTTATTTGCATGACTTAATTTGTTCACGCTTTTCAAACTATTAACATATCCTAATTACTGGGATTAATGAATGTTTCAGTCATTTATCCTATTTAGGCTGATTATCATTGAAGATGTGTGAGTTTATTGCACCTTGTTATTGGCTGCCTGTTGCGTGTCAGAACTGATTTTTTAATCTAATTACGACAGTTCCTCTGTCTGGATAAACAGTTATAATCTTCATTCTGTATGTGGCAAAGATTTGGAAATGGAATGAGAGCGGTTTCCTTCAGCTAAGAACATAGTGTAATATTTTGATGAGGCTGGAGACATGGATGTCTCCTCATCTGCTAATGTGTGTGATGTAATGATGTGATGATGTGGCAGACTGGAGACGTATAAAATGCCTTTTTAACTGTTAATGGGGGCCACTTCCTGAGAGGTGAGCAGCTGCCTTCTGTAGATCCTGAGCAATTTCTCTGAACTGAGTCAGATTACAATTTCAATCAGAATCTGTTGTCATGCCTCCTGGTTATTTAAAACATATAAGTTATGAAGGATTATTTAAAGAGTTTGTCTCCAGTGATCTCTTTTCAGGAAAGAGAACCGGAGCCTATCCTTAACTTCCTTTTATCTATGCTGTTTTCTAAACTCTGGGTTTATCAGATTGCCTCTTTGCTGCTCTGTGAGTCAGTGGAAAAATGCACCGTTTGAAAGAAGAGTGTGGGTTCGTTCTGACTCCCGCAGTAGAGCTGTCCAATAGCCTGCGCTGTAATCGATGTCCCCATAGTGGAGGTGTTCAGAGTGGGAACAGCTGAACTCCACACTCTGAGTTCAGGAGATGCTGCTTCCGACAGACACTAAACAGCCAAGCACAAAACATCTCATTAAAAAAAAGGATGATTGTTGAAGGGAATAAGTAAAATGATTTTCATCGTTACCCTTTCGATATACACAGGTTTGACGCTGGAGAGACCCGTCTTAAAAAGTGTCTGAAATGAAAACAGGAAATGGAAAAGTTTTAGTTCAGATGATTTCATCCCTGTATTTCATTTAAGTGCCTAAATCAGCGGTCAGAAGGTTTATCTGCCCCCATTCATGACAAGAAGTGTGAAACCTCTGTGTTTTAAATTAAAAAAATTGATGATCAGTTTTATGAATTTTTTATCTGTAATTCACCTTCTTGATCCAGAATTTTAGGTCTATGAGAGAATATGATCAAGCTATAACAAAGGATATTAAAACATTTCATGGAAAATGAGAAAGAACTAAAAAAACTAGTTTGCTGCGAAATGACAAAACAAACATTCAAAGCAATAAAAAACTTATTTTCCAATTTTGAATAAAATTTGAATTTTTCAACATTATGAATTATTTTAACTTGTGTGTTTTTTTTCTAATACGCCTATTAATTACCTCAGGCCTGGGCAGAATTATGATGCCGCTTGTTTGCTGTAAAGTGCTGCATGAATAAGGTCGATGCTAACATTTAGAAAGTTAGCATTTTATCGTGTCGTGAAGATAAATTATTCACCTTGAATAAGAAAATGACCAAAGGATGAAAACACTCAACAGTTTATCAAAACTAAAGCAAGAAGAGCAACATGATGCAGAAACAGCTCAGATTTCATATTTTTATTGTGATGTAAAATCTGGATGCCAGACCCTAAATTGTTGTTTGAGTATACAAGAAGTTTTACTAAATAATCTCGCAGCTTTGCAGATGATACACAGCTATATATTACAATGCCACCAAAGGTTTATGAACCCATTTAAGTGCTCTGTAAATGCATGCAAGAAATCTGAGAGGGAAGTATTAATTTTAGGACTAAAGGATGAATATTTAAGAAGAAGCACTAAAGTTCAGGTTAACACAGCTAGAATTATTGATCTTGGAATTGAACCTTTAGAGGCTCATAAAGACAGGAGCGAAGTTAGCCTCCTATCAACATCTCCAGGATAAACTAATTCCTACTTTGTTCATCTTTAGTAGAATTTATCCCTGCAGCGGTGTCTTCACAGGCCTGACTAGAAAGTGGATCAGAAAGCTGCTGATGATCCAGAATGCTGCTGCCTGCATCCTCACTTTAACATACACCTTTCAAAACTGAAATATGAGTAAGTCATTTTTTCTTGAATTGAGCTGGTAAGTGAGACACTGCCAATGGAATAAGACAGTTTACATAAAAAAAAAAAATAAGAAAAAACTGCATAATAAAAGGGTATATTATCTAATTGTCTTATTTTAAGGGTAAAAATATTATTCTATTGGCAAACCATCGTATTTACACTGGAAAAAAATCTAAATAGGTCATATTTTCTCGAAATAAGTGATATTTTTTCTTGAATTGAGGAGGTAAGTGAGACACTTTGCCAATGGAACAAGACAATTTGGATTAAAAATTGGGAAAAAAAATTGCATTGTCTTATTTTAAGTGCATATTATTTAATTATCTTATTTTAAGTAAAAATACTCATTCCATTGGCAGACTTATTTAGACTTATTTAGATCGTATCTATGTGCTCAAATGAAGGCTAAATACACTTAATCTAAGAAATGTTGACTTATTTCTAGTTTGTTTTTGCAGTGTACCTACTAATATTAAGTACACCATTTTACTCATGTTTAGAAGATTTTTTCAGTGTAAATATATATTCCTTAGTTTTAGTTTTGCAGGGAATCTTAAGATCCAAAACCAGGATCAGGAAGTTTTGGGAACAAATACACTAAAGTTTTCTGTTTTTCATAAAAATGGGCCAAACCTCCATGTAATCAAACTGTTCTTGAGACAGGACATTTTCACCAGCATGTCTACTGCAAACAAACAATAGGTGTTTGCCATACTGCTACACTTGTGAAAGTAAAATCTGTTGTGCTCTCTTTGGCATCAAGACAATTATTCTTATTGCCACATCGACAGACAGGACACTGTTAAAAAAAAAAAAACAAACAAACAAAAAAAAAACAATGGGTGTAACCACCAAAGAGCAGCACAACATTTAGTCCAAGTCTTTTAAGGAAAGTTTACACAAAAGTTGCACATATAAAAAAAAAAGAATGCCAAAACAAGCCATTTTTTTATCTTCATAATCAGAAAAAACATTCTCAAGTTTATTATTTTTTTTAAAGCTACAGTGTGTAATAATTACAGGGATATACAGTCAGAAATGTAATATATTATACATAACTATGTTATTTATCATCATCTACGAGCTCAGCCTCTTAACCTTAATATTTGCGTTGCCTTAGAATTCGTTATTTATAATTACATAGGAGCGGGTCTCGCAGCCATGGAGGCAGACATCTTTGCGCTACGGCAGCGCAGAGCCAACAAACTAGCGATTGCGAGATCGCCAAAACGTCACAACGATGTAGAAAAAATAACGGGTATATTTATTATCTTAAGTCTACATGAAATCTATACCCTACACAGACTAATGAAATACTATCTGTAAAATTATCTATGTAAACAAACCTCATCACTTGAGAAGGTAGGTGATGCGGACGTCGTGGAAGACATTTTGTCCCGTAACGCTCGCCGTACTGTTGGGGGGGGGGAGAAGCGGTGGGGGGGGGGATGTTCATGTTGCTGCAGTCTGCAGTCTGACCGCTAGATGTCGCTAAAAGTTACACACTGTAGCTTTAACACATCATTCCACACTGCAAAAACAATCCAGAAATAAGTAAAAAATGGCTTAAATTAAGTATATTTAGCCTTAATTTGAGCAGGTAAATAAGATGATTTGCCAATGGAATGAGTATTTTCACTCTTAAAATAAGATAGTTAGATAATATTTACTTGAAATAAGACGATAAAATAGTTTTTTCTTATTTTAAAAGGAAATTGTCTTGTTCCATTGGCAAAGTGTCTTACTTACCTCCTCAAATCAAGGAAAAACACACTTATTTTAAGAAAAAATAACTTATTGAGATTTATATTTTTTGCAGTGCATTTAGGAACCAAAAGGATAACGGCATCATCAGGGAATAGTTTGCTGCAGGAGGGACAGTGAATCTCAGAAGGTATAGTATGTGTGTAATGTGTCACGTGTCAGTTAGTAACACGTTAGTGTCTGAAGCACAGCAGACTTGACCAAGCATCAATATGTCACGAATTAGGAGTGAGACTGTATTAGTGGAGCAGCAGCATTTTTTCCAGCTTATATCCAGGATCTTCACCTTTTGGTCATCGTTTCTTGTGGCCATGGGAATTGAATATAAGAAGATTAAGAGTTTTTATTTTTTATTTTGAGCAGCACTTCACTAAACAAGAAAGACCAGAGTTCAGGCCCACTTTGGTAAAGACAAGTTCACAATTTTTATATTTTCTCCTTCTGGCTGAGATTCCACTTCTTAAGGCAGAAAATGATCTAAAACATGGAGTTTTCTTGACATTCTTTACATTTACCATCGGCAAAGATCTCTAAAGTAAGAAACTTACTTTGACCTCTTCTGATGAGATGTTGAGTTGGAAGTGTCCATCTTGATGAGCAGCAGCAATCAGTGGTTTAAAAATATCATCTAATGTCAGGAAAACAAAGTAAATACAAAACAAACTGTTCTGCTTCAAATTAACTTAAGCACACATCAAGTTGGAAGTAAGTTGGAAAATCTGAGGGTTTATTCATTTTCAGTAGTTTTAACCACACCTTTAATGGACTGGTGCACATTTGTTCACTACATACATACATATTTTAAAGCACCTAAATAAAATTGAAACTAGTCGATGCATTTGTTACTTCAAGGCTGGACTATTGTAATTCTTTACTATCAGGAAGTCCACAAACTGTAGTTAAAAGCCTTCAGCTGATCCAAAATGCTGCAGCCAGAGTTCTAATGAAAATGAAAAAGAGAGATCATATCTCTCCTATCCTGGCTTCTCTTCATTGGCTTCCTGTTAAATCCAGAATAGAATTTAAAATCCTCCTTCTCACATATAAAGCCTTAAATGGCCAAGCTCCATCTGATATCAGAGATCTGATTGTTCCTTATGTTCCTAACAGAGCACTTCGCTCTCAATCTGCAGGTTTACTAGTGGTTCCTAGAATTTCTAAAAGTAGAATGGGAGGCAGATCTTTTAGTTCTCAGGCTCCTCTCCTGTGGAACCAACTACCAGTTTTAGTCCGTGAGGCAGACACCCTGTCTACTTTTAAGGCTAGGCTTAAAACTTTCCTTTTTGATAAAGCTTCTAGTTAGAGTGGCTCAGGTTATCCTGAGCTATCTCCATAGTTCTGCTGCTATAGGCTTAGACTGCTGGAGGACATAGGGACCCCTTTTTCATCATTCTGCTTCATTCTATCTCTATTCTCCCATTCTGCGGTATTTTAGTTCAATCTCTACAGTTATGTTCTTTCTCATTTTCTCATCAAAATGGCTTCATCTGGTCTGTTCTTATTTGGCTGTTATGACATCCTGGAGAGAAATATCAGCTGGGCTTCTGCCATCAACACCTTCAGTTATAGACAATGGAACTTTGCCTGTTTTTTAAAGCTTAGTCCAGTTTCTTTCCTACCTGTGTAGCTAGTGTTCTGTTACAGTTTGACGTTCGTTTGGATGGGGGGTTATTTTTCTAATTCATATTTTTAAACTCCTATTTCCGTCAAAATTATTTACAGATATTGTCAGTGGCTTTTAAGACACGTGTAAGAACATTGCGTAGATTTTTTAGGAGAATCTTAGGGAGTTTCTAAACAAGGCAGAATAAAATTTTCATAATTTATATTTAAAAAATCTCAAGAGAGAAACTGAATCCAGGTCATTAAGAAAATATCTATCATTAATCCACTTATTTCCATTAAAGTAATCATCAAGTCTTTAAATTTCAAACTTTTTTCCTGAGATGCTGTAGTGGAACTCTATCTTTCCTGTAAGAGTGCATTTATTGGAGATTAAAAATGACACCACTGAATACCATCTGGAGGCATTTCGCCTAAAGCCCACCTGAGAACCAGAAGTAAAGCATCCTGTTTTCAGTCAGTTGATTTGGGTGAAAAACCGAGTTGTTGATTGAAGAAGTTGAGTTTAGGTATTTTGTAAGACCCTAAAGGGGACACAAAACAATCAAAATAAACATTACTGAATAAAATGATTAAGGATTTAAACTGTTCAAGGTGTTATATCTAAAATACACTCTTGTAACATTCAAACAGGTTACATGTAATGCTATTAACCTTATGATAGGACTCTATGTAGTTAGCAGTGATGAGAGGAGATGTAGTTACACCAATGTCCACGCTGATGGCGCCATCGCTGAGGAATTCCGCTGGAAATGAACATCATCACAGTTTTAGAAATCATTTAAAGCCATTTAAAGCATCATTAGTGTATCTCCTGTTAATAGAATAATTTGACTGGGCTGAAATGAACTTAAAAAAGAGTTTCTAATACTGTTTAAATGCAAGTTGTCTTGTTTTGTTGAGGTTATTAAAAAAGAAAAGTTTTTTGCTACAAAATATTTAGTCACAAACTAATCCATGTTGGATAAAGTGCAAAAGTTTAGCATTTTATTCATGTAAAGTTTGAATGATTTCAATCTTTTTAAACAATTAAAAAGACAGGATGAGAGACGTCCCAAACCAACAAAATAGCACCTACCCGCCGTGTCTTGAATGAATTCAGCCAGGATGTCTGCAAGCTTGTTGATCTCCTTACAGATCTGAGCTCAAGGACACATCTTGCATTGTTTGAATTTGACTTTAAGATGATACATAAAAAAAATATTATGTGTATAAAAGATCTCCTCCCTAACCTGTCCCTTGACGACCAGCTTGACTGTGAAAGTTATAAAGTCAGTGAAGAGCCTCTTCAGCCAGTTGGGCCTGAGAAACAAACAATGAAGACCAGAGAACATGTGAGGGAGTTTATTTCTCAGGGATATCTCCAAATGTCTTCCCTCCCCTTTTAAAATGCAATGTTTTTGGAACTAAAATGTATGACACCAAAAAAAAATAATAATAAATAAATAAATAAATAAAATATCCTATTTATCCCATAAAAACCTGATGGAAAAGAAAAATTTTAGTAGGGAAAATGCATAAAATACAAAAAAAACTGCAACAACCCAGATGAAACATTGTGCAAAACATTTAAATCATATTTTGTTGAATCACATTTTGGTTACATTTCAACATTTGGTCTTTTTTATTGGAAGTCTGTGAGAAAAATCCACTTTGGTCACACAATATATGTAAACTATGGATATACTGTGAGATAGGAAATTTCAAAAATCATATTATTCTTGTAAAACTCACTTTTGTTGCTGTTTTACAGTCAAATAGAGTTTATGAGTCCTTAAATACATGTATTCATCATGGCTAATTTGACGATTACCGAATGCTAATCCTCAATGTCTGACTGCAGTGAATGCAGCACGAGATGACGCGAGAGCGACATCAAAGACAATCAGAGACTGATTTGTTTTGAAAACTGAGTGTGGCAAAGCGAGGGAGCCAGGGGTCGTGTGGAAAAGAGACACGGGACGAAAGAGTTAAAAACACTCATAAAGACATATTTGCAATCAACTATGACAGAAAAGAGACAGGTTTGGCTGTATTGAATAAAAATACACAAAGGCATTGGATTGAGCTAAATTTGTAAAGCGCATTGCTGAGCAGCATGGATATCGCCCCATTCAGCTGTTATAGGCATGGTAACTTCATGCTCTGTGATCAATGTGATACTGGTGTAAATCCTGCTTAATATGAAACAGTGTTATTATTTTTTAATGTTTCTTTTTTTTAATTTTTTCGTAGTATGAAAGTATCCAGAAACGACCTGTATGAACCTACTCACAAAATGTTTTGCACTTTTTCAGACTGGGAGCAAAATATATTTTTATGTTGCTTCTTTACAGGTTTGTGGAGATTTTTATGTAACATACAGAACCTGCCTTTTTGCTGATTTATTGATACAGCAGCTCTATCTACAGCATATTTACATGCATGAAATGTCCCTTTCATGTCGCCTGAACTGCTGTGAATATTGTGTATACTGTGCTGTATTTCTCAGTTACTGAGGAAGTTACTGAGGAACAAATGAGGTGAATGTGTGATCTGAGTAACAATAAAAGCGATGTCCAGTACCTTGCTTGGGTGCCTTGACCCATTTATTTCTACTGTGTAGTACTGCTCACTTTAGTACAGCTCAGTCCATAGATCTCTGATGGGTAAGTTTTACTTTCTATAGTTTCTTTTTGTGCAAATGCTGCAGGCTGCCTCTCTGACACAGTTAATGTCACATATCTGCGACTCAGCACCTGTGTCTTACCTTAATACCTTTCCTGTGATGATGCCCCACCTGAAATAATGTTATCATGCTTCTATCTCCTATCAAGTGAGATCATATTGTATGATATATCCGCAATATGAACTGTTTCACATGAAACATGCACTGTACATACTATTTCTCACCAAACTGTGATGCCATATGTTGCCACCCCTCAAAAATTCCTGCCCCCCTCTCGCCACCCCATTAATATTTTTCTAGATCCGCCCCTGAACAGAACTGATTGTTTTCTCGAAGGCAAAACTTCTGTTTAGTGCTAACACTGACCACACATTTTATATCCTGAGATGATTCATCATCTCTGTCTCTAACTGTGTTATTGGTTAAATTAACAATATAAAGTTAATGAAAAATTTTAATACCTCTTGATATCAGAATCCAGTACCAAGAGAATAAAATATACTTCAGTTATTCCCATTAGGAATACAGTTGATCTGTAGGTCCTAGATTATGTTCTTTATGGAGAAAAGCTGAACATTATGAGTCCCTGCAGCCAATGAAGAAGCTTCTATAAACCTTTGTTGTGTATATATTATGCAGAACTATAACCAATTTAGACCACAAAGATGTAAAAATATCTGTGCATTTATTTTCAAGGGCTTCTTGCAAATTTAGTCTGTCTTCACTGATTTTTTATTTGTAAACTACTGATTTTTTGCTTATTTATTTCCAGTTGGTGCAGTATGATTAGTGTTGAGCCTAATCAGTTTCCAGCCAGCCCTCAGTGCACATCACTTCCTGCCTGGTCACCCCCATGATAATATCCCACAACAGCATCTTTTTTCACCTTAACCAACATATTGTTGATTGAATCACAAACCTTCATTTTAACATGTTTGTAAACTTTTTTATTCCTAATGTAGTTTAATTACTTACTCTTTGTCCCCCTGCAGGTAGAGGCGAAACTTGTGAAAATTCAGGTAACAATCAGATGTGTCTGCAGCTACCTTTGAATTGCCACAATCTGAAGATAAGGGAACAGAAGGAAAAATATGTCAGAAGAGTGAGACAGAGAGCAATGCAATTGTCTATAGGAATAATTGGTAGAATAGAAACTAAAAAAGGGTTGAAGAACATTTTATTAAAGTTTGCTGAGAAGAATGGGTGGTGAAAGGTCATCTTGAATACCTAGGAGGGCACTAAAGCTAATGTCTTTTTTTTTTTAATTCATTTAACCACTGTACATTACATCAGGTACCAGTAAACACTGGAAAAACAATCTAGAAATAAATTAAACATTTCCTTAATTAAGTGTATTTACCCTTGATCAGGTAATTGAGATAATTTGCAAGTGGAGCTAGTATATTACTCTTAAAATAAGAAAATAAGATAATATGCACTTGAAATAAAACAATGCATATGTGTTTTTTTTATTTTAAATGTAAATTGTCTTGTTCCATTGGCAAAATGTCTATTTTATCTCCTCAATCCAAGAACAAATGCACTTATTTTAAGAAAAAAAAAAGATTTTTCTAGATTTAGATTTTTTTCCAGTGCAGAACAGCATTTGCAGAAAGTGTATAAAGCATATCGTAATATAGAAGAAAACCAAAGATAAAAGGAAAGGAAACAATAACAAAATATAAATAATAAAATAATAATAATAAAGTAGCAAAATATGATATTATATTATACTTTGATTCAAGAACAGGGAATTAATGCAGCAGATGAAATTTACTCACAAAAGAAAGAAAATTACCAGCACTTTATGTTCTTAGAAATTCTAAAGATTTTACATAAGATTTTGTCTCATTTAACCAGCCAGCAGAAAATAAATGATTTACATTTGAAGAAAAGGCATTTGTGTAAAAATTTACAAATAACATTAAGATAATTTCATAATCTGATCATATTTAAAACACAAGATGCCTTTTTGCAAACATTTTTAAATCATATTTTTATAATTGCTGAAAGATAAAAGACTCCAAAAAGGTCAATAGTCAACTGAAATCATACGAAAAGAAAAAGAAAAAAATTACTTACATAGTTTTGGGTTGATTCCAAGATCGATCTGAGTTTCGACCTCAAAATCAAGTCTCTGTGCAACATTAACCCTGGTAGATAAAGACAACAGATAAAACATCTTTTGTTTTTTTTTAACCATGAACCATGGTGTATTTTATGTTGTTTAATGTGATAATGCAAACATTTGCAATCTTTTTACTTTTAAGTTTTTTTTTTTGGCAAATAATAATAATAATTAAAAAAAAAGGAATTATGGAATAAATTTTGCTCCGATACCCCTGAATTGTGAACTGGGTTATGGAGTATTATCCCAAACATTTCAGAGGTAATCGGAGTGACCTGGAGGGCCGAGAAATAAGAGGATTAATCACAGAAGCAAGCAAAACGCCCAAAGTCACATAGACTAAGTGTAGGAACCTTTATAAAGGACCAGTTTGAATGATGCATAACCGCAAGTTCTGTTTGTGAATGACTGAGCCAGATGGAATAAAAGCCATTTTTCTTCTGGTCATAGAAGAAGAAGAAAAAAAAAACTTCTTGTCTTCCATACAAAATACTGCAGGTTAACCTGAGCACAGCATCATAAGGAAAGCTGGAAAGCTACTTCAGGATGGATGGGAAGAGGGATCAAGTGAAATAGAGGGCAATCCAGGGGGAAACATGTTGAAAGCTGCACCTCAACACATCAGACAGAGCAGAGAGGAAACATTCATAACATTACAAACGATTCAGGTAAATCTACCATAGAATACTTTAATCAAAGGACAGTCATGTGTTAGAACAGCCCAGTTAAAATCTACAACTACATTCAAACTAAGTCTTTCAACAGCAGTATTTTAGCATCTATAAATGTGCTGGGGTCTCATGTGACTTGATGCCTCCTCCTACTGGTCTGCTGCATTTTCCACTTCCTTTTAGCTCACATCTATTTTATGTCAAAATAGCTTTTTTCTATAACAGCATTATTTTCTGCTCCATCAAATGTTTTTTTTATTTTTTTAGCTTTTTTTTTTTTGCAACCATCTGCCATCATACCAAAATAATTATAATTATATATAAATATTTTCCAAAACCAAATATAAATACATGTTATTTTATTTTTTGTTTAAACTAAACAAAAACAATTTTATTTCACCTCTTGGAATCTCCTACCTTCTGATTATTCATCATTTTGGACAAAATGTTATAATATTTGTGGTTTAAACTTTACTAAACATAAGGGGCTTGTAAGGAAATGTATGTTTTTATTGAGCAGTAGAAGTTTGCTCCAGCCTTGCAGACTCACAGCCAGCTGCCGTATCCGTACTGAAGGGTCCCACTGAACACTGCAGAGACGTTGTTAATCTGCAGACCGATTCCCTCCCCTGGACGCAGCTCAAACTCACTCTGGCCGATCGACAGGTTGAAAATCTCCAAACTGAGAAAGTTACAAAGACAAAAACTGCAATAGTATTTTCTGGATCCATTTATGTGGACGTTTGGCGTCACCACTTACTTTTCTAGGCCGTATAACACTTTGCCCAAAAAGCCAGCAGATTTCTCTCCTTTCATACTGGGGTAACGGGCGTGTTGGAATGCTGCCTCGATTACTTTAGTGGTTTTCTCATTCACTAAAGACAGAAAAGCACAGGATTAGTTTGGGGATTGGATTTCCCTTCCCTTAATTATTGGGAAAGAGGATTGTATACTCAATGGGAGACAGTTGTAGGAATACAAATGTATTATTTGTTAGACTTTCATCTTTTGCAAACCAAAAGAAACAAAAAAAGCAAACTAAATTTAAACAACATATGTAAATTTCAACAAAAAAAAAGTATATTTTCCCTTGGTCTGAGCAGTTAACTAAGGAAAGAGAATTTACTTAAAAAAAAAAAAAAAAAAACTACTCTGTTATATTATCCCTCCATCCATCCATTATCTGACACGCTTTCTGTGATATTATTTCATAGACATAACATTTTATCATCTTAGCTTAAGGGGTATACAGTGGTTATGGAAGAGGATTAGGGCCAATGGAAAAAAAATCAGTTTTCTCAGAATTCTGATTTTAATCCCAGAATTCTAACTTTTTTCTCACAGCTCTGGTTTCATTCTCAGAATACTGACTTTAATCTCAAAATTCTGACTTTCCCATATTCAGTTTAATATGGGGGAAAAAAGTCAGAATTCTGACTTCTTTTCTCAGAATTCTGACTTTTTTCCCCATATTAAATTGAAATAAAATTGAAAATAATTTTTTTTTACTTTTTCATTGGCCCTAATCGTCTTCCGTAAGTGGTGGACTAAGTACTCAACAATAGTACATTAGTAAAAGTATTGATACTCATTGTCAAATCTTACTAAACCACAACTAAAAGTTACTTAGTTAATAATCTACTCAAAGAAGTACTCATATTCGAAAATACTTAAGTATTCAAAGATGCATTTTACGGCACTTAATTATTAAAAAATACATATTAAATTTTCAAATATCAGTACATTTCTGTATTATTTTCTGGTTAATTTTAATGAACCTTGTGACTTTCTGAAACCACCTGATGTATTGACGTGTAGAACCACTCTGCTACAAAATATACACCACCTGAAAGAACTACAAAAATGAGTCAAATAAAGGTACTAAAAAAAAGTACTTAAGTAAAGTAATCAAGTAAATTTGTTTATTTTCCACCAATGGGGTAAAATATTACATCAATTGGAAAATCCTCTTCTTTACTTGCTCAAATTAAGGGCAGATACACTAATTTAAGAAGTTTTATTTATTTTCAGAACAGCTTTTTCAGTGTATTTCTCACTGTTGGAGTAAAACACTACTATTGAGAGTTTGACATTCTTCTTTGCAAAAACTTTCTTTTATAATCCTTATGACACTGAAGGTTTTAAAGCAAAACTGGCGTAGCTCTTTTGAAACATTTAGAAAAAACAGAATCTTATTTCAATGTGTTTAAGGTTTCTTTTTTTTTTTTTTGTAAATGATGGTTAGTCGGCTTCATTCAGGAAGTGTCAGGAATTGAGATGAAGTCATATTTCCATTTCCTGTAAGTTATTCAGGCTGTGAAGCAGCAAAGCAGACTTCCAGCCTATATGACTGTTCTTTTTCTGATATTATGTGTCAGGTACAATCTGTTACACTGCAAAAACTATCTACACTAATAAGTAGACATTTCTTTAAATATGTGTATTCAACCTTCATTTTAGCAAATAAATAAAATGATCTGCTAAAGGAAGGAGTATTTTTACGCTTAAAATGAGAAAATTAGATATTATAGACTTGAAATTAGACAATACAGTTGCTTTTTTTTATTTCAAATGTAAATTGTCTTATTTAATTGGCAAACAGTCTCACTTACCTGCTCAATTCAAGAGAAATTAAACTTATTTTAAGAAAAATTGACTTACTTAGATTTACATTTATTTTTTGCCATCTACAGAGTTCTATGTTTTGGATTAAAAGCAGGGTGGGATGGGTGTTGTAAACCACAAGTTTGAAAAACACAGCTCATAGATGTAAAGCATGAACATGCATAGATTCATACTCATACTATCGATGGGTAGATTAAGCATCGAGTCACACTGGAAATTTTTTTTTAATTTTAATTCTTAAATTATGTGTATTTACCCATAATTTGAGGATGTAAATGAAATTGTTTGCCAATGGAATGAGTATTTTTTAAAAAGATTATTAGATAATATGCACTTGAAATAAGACAATACAATTGTGTTTTCTTATTTTAAGTGTAAATTGTCTTTTTCCACTTGCAAGATGTCCCTTTTACCTCCTCAATCCAAGAACAAATGCACTTATTTTAAGAAAAAGGGACTTATCTAGATTTTGATTTTATCCAGTGCAATGTAATTACTCTCATCCCTAATAGAACTGAAAAGCTATTTTCTATTTGTCACTCCTTTGAGCTTCCTTTTGGATATTTAATCCAAAAGGAAATAGCCAAGAACAAAATTTAGTTTGAAAGTAATGCTTTTAATTATGCAAATGAAACGTGCCTCTTTGATTTCAGGAACCTTTTTTTGTCTCAATGCGCTGAGAAAATGATCTAGAAACAAGTAAAAATTTCTTAAATTAAGCGTATTTACCCTTAACTTTAGTATGTAAATAAGATGATCTGCCAATGGAATGAGTATTTTTATTTTAAACTAAGAAAATTAGATTATATGCACCTAAAATAAGACAATGCAATTGTTTATTCTTATTTTAAATGTAAATTGTATTTTTTTCCATGGGCAAAGTGTCTCACTTCCCTCCTGAATTAAAGAAAAATGCACTTATTTTTAAGAAGAAAATAATTAATTAGATTTAAATTCTTGCAGTGTGATTCAAAGGTCATTTCTATTATTGTTTGTTAATGAGGCTTAATAGTAGCACATTCCTCAGAAAACAGTCAGATCCTGCAAAGAAAAAGCAAAAGAAAAGCCAAAGTTCAAAGTAAAACAAACAAGACCTTTTGAGGAACTGGAGAGCTATAGATTAATCCAGAACAAAGCAATGACAGATGGAACAAAAGTTGCATTAAGGACTGAATTTCAGACTTCAAATCTGAAGTTTAAAGCCATTCTACATTGATTGGTTGTATTTGGTATCATTTATATTTTAAACTGTAGAAGAATAATACAAAAAAGAGCTTCAGATATGAAAGGATGTTAATACTCACACACAGCAGCAGCAGGGTGGGTTAGTCTGCATACAGCTCCAGTGTATTTGTAGGCTGAAGCGCGATCCTGCAGACAGCCGTGGATCGTTCCAAACAGACACAGGATCAGCAAACGGAGAAAAATATCAGCCGGCATCCTGCCCTTAGTTTATGGTAGATACCGTTCTGCAGCCTACCAACACACAGATTGCATGGTTCAGTGTCCTGAAGCTCTCAGTGTATCTTTCTTTTTCATCCAATCAGAAGCAGAGGGGTTGTGTGGGTTACTGTAGGGGTCAAAAAAACAGGTCAAAGTGCAACTTCTGTGATGTAAACTGCAGAACGTAATACATTTGAGCTTTTAGACACCAAAAAATAAACAAAAACTTAGGTTTCTAAAATAGGATAAAGGTAAACAAACAGCCAAAAGCCATTAATGTTACTGTACATGACCACATAAATTAGCTTTAATTTGTGAAGAAAAGAGAGAAAGATTAACATGCGTTTAAATCTTCCAGTTTTATCTGTTGTCAGGGTGGCCAACGTCGCTCCAGCAGCTCTGACTGAACAAAGAGGGTTTGATATGTGCAAATTCTCAGTGTAACTAGATACAGGAGCTGAGTCCTGGTGTTCATACCCTTCAGGTATTTGTCCTCCAAATCTCCCAAATGGCTTAAATGTTACAGAAAGAGGGGGTAAAAAAGGGGAGGTCACAGATCTGATGAAGCGCTGCAAAACTGTAAATGAAAGCAAACAAACTTTCTTGAAATGTGAATATTTTTCCTTGTTTTAAGCTGTTAAGTCGTTTTTTTTAAATTAAGGTGATTTACATTTAAATTGAGGAAAAAAACTGAAACAAAATGTCCCTGTTTTAAGAAAGACAAAAATATTAAATCCAGTTATCAGATTATTTCATTTAGCTGCTCATATTAAAGACAAATACACTGATTTAAGAAATATTTTCTAGTTTTTAGATCACTTTTCACATTGAGGTCTCTGTCTGATAATTCCTGTGTTCACTGCAAATATTAAAACCTTCTTTCTTAAAATAAGTGTATTTTTCCTTGCGGTGAGCAGGTAAGATAATTTGCCAATGGGATAAGACGATTTATTATTACTAACTTCTTTCTCTTATTTTAAGTGCATAATACCTAATTATCTTATTCTAACATCACAATACTCTTTATATTGGCAGATCATCTGCTCAAAGTGCAAATGAACATATTTCAGGATCTTTTATTTATTGTTAGATCAGATTTTTCTGTGTTTTATTTGTGAATATACCTTGAAAAAGCTCAGTATTTAGCGCTATGCATATGCTTTTGGGTGCAAAGTTGGTACATGGCGAGCAAAAAACAAAGACTAGATGATTATTTGACATTTAGGACTGGAAATTGACAACACTGGAAAATAATGGGGTGGAGGATAATAGCAATAACTGAAGTTTATTGATCTCACATTGGAGAAATTTATGTTATTCTTTGTTATTCCAAGTAGGCTACATAATATCTAGATATTTTGTTTTAAAGGAAAAAAAATATTCTTTGGCAGATCATCTTATTTACTTACTAAAGCTCAGGCCAAACATGTTTTAAAAGAAGTTGTGTCTATTTTTAGAATAACTTCTGCAGGGTATATCTCATTGTTGACTGTATGGGGGGCTTGGCATTTCTCTTTAAAAAACTTTTTTTTTTAACTTTCCGTCAGGCTTAAAAATGGCCTAGCTGTTGTAGCTAATACTGTAGCACTTCTCAGATTGCCTGATCCAAAAAACCTCAAACTGCAGCTCCTAGCCCAGGCGTACCTAAAGTTGGTCCTCAGGGGCCGCTGTCCTGCAGGTTTTAGAGGTTCCTCTGCTTTAGCACAGCTGATTCTGATGATTGAAGTTCAGATAAAAGCCTGTTTATCAGCTATCAATGAAATCTGCTGCGATGGAGCATGGAAACCTTTAAAACCTGCAGGACCTTTACCTTTCATAGGATCAACAGTAAGAACTCTATCCAGGGGGTGGGGGTGGAGACTCCAGATTAGGGAGCAATAATGCTGATCAAAAGACTACAGCCTTCATGAAAAGAACCACAAAAAAAAAAAGTAGGAGCCATTAGCCCTGTCCTGTGCTTCTCCCCACCAGGGGGCAATATTTTGAGTTCTGATTGTCTGATGGGGTTATTTAAGGTCAACCATGATTCTGTTCAGGTGTTGTTAATGTGAGGAGGCAACAGTTTTCTTCAGTGTTTGGTTCAGATTAATGTCGAATTTATGTTTATGTAAAGGGAAGTAGTAACACGATGAAAATTCTTCTGATAATAAATGACTTTATTATAAGACAAACTAAAGATCGGCGTGATAATCTTAATTGAGTGCACATAAAACCAATGCCTTTCAGGAATAGCAACCAGTAGCTTTAAATAGAGGATTTTAGCCGCTACACCAACAGATGTAGTAAATGACTGAAGCTAGCTGTTACATTATGTGTACGCTATGCATCAGAGTGGATGTCATGAAATAAGTATTTTTCTTAGACTCTGTGAGGTGGGCTGTGCCTGTACATCCAGGTTGTCTTTGTTTAAGCTCTAGAGGCCTTTATATTGAAAGTAGGCACCTGGTCTTATCTCCTTCTTTGCAGCACAATTCGGAACGCACCGTTGACGCTCTTCCACCGTGGCTAAAGTGTCCTTACAGATCTGTAGGTATTTGAATTGAGCCCCTGTACAAGGGTTGCCAGTGTTTACCCCACTGCCTCAACTTCTGATTCCTCAAAGTTTAGCATAAATTAATTTTACAAAACCTGTTAAAATGAACTGCTGCACAATCCAACGAAAAACAGAATACCATGAATATTGAACTGTGACAGCACCTTCTGTAGAGGTTTGGGTTAACATCCTAAGCACCACTTCCCCATGACTGTTTACTGTTAGATGCAATTGAAAAGCAAAGAACCTTTGTTTCAATAAAGGATGAAACACCTAAATGGAAAAAAATAAATCACAAAAATACTTGATGTACAAACATTTATTGCATTTGTTATAACAAAATCCCATAAACACAGTTATTGTACAAGCAAGGGCAACTATTGCCACTAGAAAAGGGTCCTTTTCCACTTTACACAGTGACAAATGTCACTATCTTTTTTTTTCTTCCCCTAAGGGAACTTAAACATACAGCTTCAGAAAATAAACAGGATTACAGATCAATATTCATGCAAAAGGATGAAATGATAAAAGTTCCTGTCATACATGTAGCTCATTACTTCCATGAAGATAAAAACGAAGAGGTGGAGTAATTCATGAAGTCACAAAATCACCTTGGTTTAAGTTTCTCCACATAGTGACGTATTTTCACGGCTTTACTTTGAATTTGATCTGTAATTTTATCTCTGTTCCTCTGTGCAAAAAAAAAAAAAAACTAGAAAAAGCTCTGAGCCCTTAAAGTTATAATATCATAACCTCTCTCTATTCAGAAGCTTGCATATGACAGACATAAGGTGTAAAGTGCGCTGTGTACATAATATATTTACAGCTTTTTTTTTTTTTATGATACATTTTTAATTTATGGCTATGTGGAATTTTTCAATAAAAAGAAGAATTCACCTAAAATTCTAAAAGCTGGAATGAAAAGGGACAAAAAGAGGATAAAAAAGTTTCCTTGTTTTTATCCAAGACTTGAGTTCCTTGTTTCTTTACAGTCGATTTAAATACAAAATGTTCCTCCTCAAGTCTGACATTTTGTTTTATTAAGTTCATTAAGTCTTATTTTTTTTTACTAGATTTTTATCCCTAAAATAATGTATGCGAGAACCTTAAGTAAAATGGTAACACAAGTTTTTCTTATTTCAGTCCTTTAGGCTGCGTCTAAAAAGTCCTCCCACCTGCTACTGAGAGAAATCTGAACACAGATTCATAGAACAAAATCTATGGTTAACAAACTAATGTGTGAAGATCACATTCGTTCATCTACAGGAATATGAATCCTTTCAGAATAAAAGTCCTAAAAGTGGAAGAGGAAACTGAATATAACAAATCAGCGCAGAAGGAAGATTCATTCTCTAGCTTTCAGGTTCCACCGTCTGTCTGTTACAGACCTTTTGATGGAGCATAAAACATGAAGTTTGGATCAGAAACCTGAAACTAGCAGCGAGAAGATGCCAGTTTATGGTTTCTTTGGTAGCGTCTACATCTGGCTGCTGTTCGCTGCGCCACTTCCTAAAAGATTCACTTCCACACAGGAGCTGGTAGGATCCCCGCGCGCTATTAGGTGACCGTTTTAAGGTAACCACTGCTGTCCCAGGGACTCAGTTGGCTAGGCCCTGAGGAACCTCAGGTATGAGGGAGGAGAAGAACGTTTTGAAGAACACCCAGGCGGTCCACATGATGGACACCCTGTGAGGAGGAACCAACACTGCTGCCATTGGCTCCTCAGACTCCTCAGCTGTGTTTTCCATCTGTCCTTCAGCCGGCTCGTCAGCCTGAAGAGTCACAGAGAAAAGTTTCTTAGTAAGGATAAACATTTGAAGACAGTAAAGCCACAGAGCTGGTCTGAACCAACATCATTTAATTGGCAAATATTAAAGCCAACTGAATTTAGCAGGCATAAACAGGAATCAACTAAAATCCTTACAGGATTGGGCTCCGGGTCCCTGATGTCATTGTGCTGGTTGTGTTGGACCTCAGGGGGCTGCAGGTCGGGTGCTTGGACTGGTGCTGGCCGTCTGAAGGGAAACCAGCCCATAGTGTGCCTGCAGTTTCAGAGACAACAAATTGCTTTCTATCAATATTCACACTTTTCAGATCAATTATTTATCATTAAACAATAACTGAGAACACTTAAAGCAACAAAAAAGAAATCTGATCCAGTAATATTACTTAAACAGAAAATAAAAATCAACAGCAGGTATGAGAAGAGCTGACCTATTTATCATAACCAGCATAAACAGAATATTTTAAACAGAAGCGTAGCGTTTAGCAGCTCGCTAGTTCAGAGGTCAATATATTCCAATATTAGTTTTAATCAGACTGATGTTCTGATATCAATATCCTATCAATACATCCCTGATTATAAAAACTCTAAAGAGAAATTGTCTCGGTCAATAAACCCGTTCGGTGATGCGAACCCTCCTGAAAAATGAACAAATGTGGGTTTTTATGTCTGCAAGTTATCAAATATCTTTAATTAAAACTAAAGACACTAAAAACAATTCTAATTTTAAGGTGTTTAAATTTTATTGGCATATTACAATCATGTGATGA